ATATATATATATATATAACCGAAACCTGTATGAAACATTTACTTTCCCATTTGTTAGATAGTAGTAGTCGTTTTGTGCTCTTTTCGGAAAGAAAAAGAGTAGAGCCTTAATCAACAATTGGAACATGGGACATTAATTTAATTGCAAGCAACAGAAAATCCAATACATTTGGCTGGATGACAATGTTGTTATTCTGTACGTTCACTATGTACAACAACAAAATGCACTGAAAGAATTACAGATATCTAACAAGAAAAGATAGTAAATTGTTTTTCTATTTAGAATTCAAATCAATTTGAATATGCAAAGGCGTGGCAAAAAGCTGGGAACCACTAGAGAAATTTGGTGCAACATCAACAAAGCAAAAGCTTACCTCTCATATAACCTCATGAACTCCGCCCCCCATCCTCGATCATCATTCCTTTCAGACTCTTTGCTAACCAGATAGCGGTCTCCCTTGGGGAGACCTTATCTTTACCGAAAGGCTTCAGAACAACTGCAAGCTCCTCTAATCTATTTTGCTGCAGCAACTCTGCAGATAATTCTAATAGGCCTTCAAGTGCGTCAGCCCTCTGCCTAAAAGACGTGACATCCAAAGTTTCCTTTGCCGGAGTTTCTTCCTCAGTCACAGGAAAATTGGTTTTTGTTGACTCGGAGGAATCAGATTTCGGAGCTGGAGGAATGATGGGGTTTCTAGCTTCCGTCTCATTGGAAGCTGAGTGATCAGAAACATTTAATTTCAAGCTTAAAGTTTCAGAGCTACTTGGTGATTTTAGATGCGCAGGAGCTGTTAAGGTTTTCATCTCTATCTCGTCCCTGACGACATTTATAAGCTTACCCACATCCACATTCTGAACCCCCTTCTCAATAGACTCAATTACTGGCTGGTCGCTCCCAACTCGAAAACTACTATGCCGTATAACATGAATGACATCATCAAAAGCAGGAGGAAGGTGAGGAGGAGCACCTGGGTTGTCAATTCGTGAATTTTGAACAACAGTTCCTTTATTTAGCTGCAACGCTTGTTGGCTTGATGAAATGGGAGGAGCAATGGAAGGAGTAGCTTCTGCTATGGTTGATAGGAGTTCCCTAACAGTGAACTTATCGTCACCACTTGATACAGATGTCAGATTTGACTGTGACATGGTATCGGGCCTGCTACTAGGCCTGCTTACATGGGTATCATCTTTACAATTATCTCTTTCTTCAGGACATAGCTCTGGAAGATCAAGAGCTATATTTGAGCTGACCAGTTTACTCTCAGCACTTGTACTCTGAGTTTCTACAACCTCAGAAGTTTCAACTGAACATACTACAGATTTATGGTCACATCCATGGTTCTCCCCAGGCACCTTTCCAGATATGGCAGAAGAAAAATGAGTGTGTGTTGAGCAGAGCGGTGGTTGGGATTCAGCACTGTCATTGGTCACAGGGTCGTGATCAGGAAGCATCTTTTCTGTCATGTCAATAAAAGGAGTCATTGCATCATCATAGAGCTCAAATCCTTGAATTGACACTGATGATGAAACGGAATTGCTGCTATCTGTATAAATTCCTTTGGAACTTCTTTCTTGAGCCTTTTGAGGCTCTGGTATGACCTTTCTAGAAAAGCTAGTAAGGAAACCATTGGGCACTTGAGGAGCCTTCTCAGCTTCCCGGGGTGTCTCACTTGTACCTAGAATAACAGCATTTCTAACATCATTTGGAGCATCAAACCCAATTTGCTTCATTCGTCCAGGAAATGTAGAGCGTCTAACCAGAGATGGGGGAGTTCTTTGCCGAGGCTTAGCAGGAAGCCCATCGTCAACAACATGCTTAACAGGAACAGGGGGTGTTCCATCATGTCTAGGTTTAGTTTTTGGTGAGGATTCAATTATAGGTAACTGCAAAGAAAAACGCAATATATAAAGACCAGTTCTGTTGACATAATAATATAGATTGCAGAATCGTCATATTACCCGATGCTTTATAGGAGACCCCTGAATCCGCTTTGTAGAATCAGAGGGTGCCTTTGGTGGAGCAGTAGGTGGTGTCTCGGGAGATGATTTGAGACCAGGAGCAACAGTGCTAAGCTTGGGAATTTTAGACAATGTTTCCGTGCTCGTTCTTTGGGTGGACACACTGACAGCCTTCGCACGATTGCTTCTCATTGGGGAACTTTCTCGAACTTTTCCTTCTTTAAGAGCCATCATTATATTTTTTATTGTTTTCGGTTGCTTTGATTCAACATTGGATCTCTGTTCATAATGAGATTTCTTTACCTCCTGCTCGTCCATTTTGACAGTACAAACATTGGGTTCATGTTCATCTCCAGTTGGTAGGAGCTGCTCAGTGCCATCTTCATCGTCAACTGAAGCGAAATCTGTATCAGTACCTCTGCTACCACATCTTGGTATCATTGTTGAAACGCTTTTGTCACTTGAAAGCAAGCTATCTTTATCGCTGCTTGAAGTGTTACTGTTTTGGCTTTCAGCCATGCTTTTTCGGGAATCACGAGCTGCAGATATAGGCTTCTCATGGGAAAAGGATGTAGGTGGACCAAAAGATGGACGATATTGACCAACGTAAGGCTGCAAATAAGGGTGCTTCAAAACTTCGGATGCCTGAACCATATTACAAATGCTAATTGTTATGATGAAGTCCTGCTGCTTAAATATTCACAAATTTTGCGAAAACGTATCAGGATTAATGCTTACACTAGGCCGATGCTCGGGGTTCTTTCTCAGCATGCCCTTGATAAGCGTTTTTCTGCAGTATTCCAAAGAATATAATAAGCAATCATATGAGAAGAGGAAAATAAAATTGCAATTCTGAAGAGCCCTTTCTCAAATAACAGAGACCCCCCTTTTTTCCTCCTTTTCCAGGAAACATAAATTGTGAATGCATCTTCTGTGACCAAAAGGATGGCAAGCTGCTAAAGTATGTGTTATTGAATTATTCAACTGCTTTAGAGCTATGGCGCTTTCAGGTCTTTTAGGGGTCTAAAGAGGTCTAAAATCAGTGACATAGTCACTTGATAGTCAACACGAGGATTTTCAAATAAACGATGTAACTAGTTAGCTTGGAGAACGTTTTCATTGTGCTCATTATGGGAACTATTTAATGCTAATTATAGGATAACAAACATTTGAACTTGATAGATGCATTTTAGAAGGAAAAATGTTGGTAGATCCTCATCCACATGGTGGTTGAGGTGGACGCACAGACTACCGTCTATGTGTCAATACTGCATAATTTTTTCATACATCTTGTCTACTTAAACCACTCTGAAGAGTTTCAACTAAATCCATCTCTTTCTATATTAATAAATGAAACTAGTTGGATGCACATTAGCATTTAATTTGAAAATTAAATTCAAACAGAAATCCTTTTGTGTTCTGGGTACTTGAGTAGCTTAAAATAACCCAATAGTCTTCAGGTGCTGTTACATAAAAAAGTAAAGTATTTGTTAATGACTGATCTACACTTACTAGTCTAAAAGTACACAGTGGCAAAGTGTAACTTATATGCGCATAAAAACAAACATACATATAAATATTTGAGCATGTGTGCAAGGGCCTGAGCCAGCTATCCAAAGCAATAGCAAGTCAAACCCAAGGCCCCTGTCGATAAAACTGAAATTAACCATGTCAATAACATTGTTTTGTGCCCTTTCTTTTTCTTTTCTGTATTGGTATCAAGGATGACAATGACATTGTTATTGCATGATTAGATATGAATATAAATAAGCTTAGCAGCAGCTGAGCTAACATATACTTACAACGATGGGGAATAGCAAGAAGGCAAAGGGCCAATAGAGGAACGGTTTATCTTGCTTATCAATCCCGCCATATCCTGAAATCACAGAATGGCAATGTTAAATGTAGCAGAACTGTGAAATGTCCATGATAACTGATTGCAAACAAAATAACCCCTTAACCACCTTAAAAAAGGGCCTCGACACGTTGTAAAGATACTTTTATGTTCATCACTACTACCAAGTCTTTCACATTAATTAAAACGTCGAAATGGTTTGGTGCAATTCAGGAAAGTTCTGACCTGCAGTGGGATGCTCTTCCACCACATAAACTTTGTATAAATTGAAAAATAAATCATGTGTGCCTAGTACCATACCTTGAGAACTTATATATAACAAATATATAAACAGTTCTATACCTAATTGTATAAACGAAAAAACAAATCTCCATTTAATTTTTCAGTACGAAAAGTGGTGCTAACAAAGGGAACGGTAAGAAAACTTACAAATGCTTTGAAAGCAGGGCGATGAGCAGCCATCTCATACATACAGCATCCTGAAACAGTAAATCACTTTAGCCAAAGGCAAATAAGTGTATGCATTAGATAGAGACAACATAAGACACATACCAAGAGACCAAATATCGGATTTAAATCCATAAGGAATATCTGCAAGCAATTCAGGACACATGTAATTGGGAGTTCCGACCACCTGAGCACAACATGTAGGACAATTGTTAATTCAATGTCAAATCACAATACTGGTGAATGAGTCCTATACTAATCCAACCAAGGAAAACAATGGGGTTGTTTTCCATTCATTTGCCCCACGACCAAACACACCCTTAAGTTTAAAATGGTTTGAGAAACCTTCAATTCAGATTCACTATACTCAAATCTGTATCCTTGAACATACAGGAACGATTGACATTGCAATATAACATATAGAAATACAATATGATTATGGGTATGACACCATACTGTTTGCTCACCTGATATAGAAGAAAAAAAAAAGGCTCATTAGCACATGAAATTAGGCATTTAATTTTTTTTAACAAACAAAGTTCCATCTAGACTTCTATTATAACATTCTGGCTTTTGATCTTTGAATTCAAACAGAGTTCATATCCAGATCCTTTGATAAATTTACTTTAAGAAATATTATCACCCATAGTTGAGAGTAGAAGAAACTTTAAAAAAGAAATCAAGTATAAGCCATGCCTGCTCTAGGGAAATTTTAAAAGAAATTTCCATGCAGTGCTGGAATCATTGTAGGTGTTGTACATACCGAAGAAGCCAAGTCATCTGCCTTCAAAGTCTTAGCTAGTCCAAAATCACCTATGCACAAATGACGCAAGAAGACAAGTATAAGAAAAACCCCAAAATTCACAATAATTCCCAAAATCATCGGTCATCTATCTACTTCAAACTTACCAAGACGAACATCCTGATCCTTCGTGAGAAAGATATTTGAACACTGCATATAGCACACATAAAAGTCAGAAGAAGACAGACAATGTCAGACATTTATACAACAAGTAGAAAACTAAGAAAATGCATACTTTCAAGTCGCGATGTAGAACAAAATTCGCGTGCAAGTATTCAACCGCCAACAGTAGCTGTGTAAACCACTTACAGAGTTTCTGCAGAATATTCGGAAAATCACACACCAAACTGATGATACGGTATATACATCCAAGCAAATAAAAGTACACAGAGATGAGATTACCTCCTCCGGAAAATAAACCCCATTTGATTTTTTCATTAGTTCAGCCCTGAAAAATACCAAGCAACAACAATGTGAGCAAAACCTGACAACATGAATACATAAGAAAAGCAACTGATAACTGTAATTGTTACTAAAACTCACATATCTCCACCCTCGCAGTATCCAGTGACGATGCAAACATAACAACCCTACATTACAAATTTAAAGCTCAAAATTCGGCCAAAAAACAAAAAATACTGCAAGCCACCAAAAGGGCTTGATTAGTATCACTATAATTTCTGTTTTTCGTTTCTAGAAATGGAAAAAATAAATGCTGCAGATTCTCTTAAGCAACATCTAGAGAATATCTCCACCGTTCATGAAAATGTTACTAAACAAGCTGAAAACAATAAGACCAAACTACAGTTCCTGACCTTCTCGACCCAAGCTTCCTTAAATTCGACGATATAAGGGTGCTGAATTCGGGCAATAAGAGCCATCTGTCTTTCCAAATTCCCAAAATAGACAAAATTAAAAAAAATAATAATAACAAAAAAATTACACTAATTTAACACACACAAAAAAACCCAAATTTACAAGAAACAAGAACAACCAATCAGAAAATTACTAATTGAAGACGCTACCTCTTGGTGAGCCGATCTCCGACATCGCTCAGTTTGCCGAGCAAGCCTGATCTTCTTCAACACATACCTGAAATGCAACAAAACTCTCATTCCTTCTAATACATTGCATAAATTAGTAACAACCACTCACTTCTATAACATATAAATATATATATGTTATAGATTTATATAATGTGTGTGCATATATGAGAGTATATACGTACTTTTTCTTCTCCGCCTTGTGATGAACAAGAATGGCGGCGCCGAAAGCTCCGCGACCGATCTGCTCCATGATCTCATACTGATCCATCCGAGACTCCATACCTCTTCGGATCCAATTTCCTCAATCAATGCAACAAAAATCCACTCCCCACAAAAAATCCAAAAAAAAAAAAAAAAAATTCAAACCATTTTCCAACTCTCACTATCGAAGAACCCAAATGGAAATGCTTGTTCTTCACTTCAGTCTTCGGATCCAAACGAAGCGATTTTTCAAGGATCAAAACGAAAAGAAACGAATTGAAAAGGTATGATTTTGATATCTTATTGTATTTCTTTATTTTTCTCTCTTTTTCTCTCCTCCTTTTCGTTTCCCCCACCCACGCTCTCTTTAAACACTTTTAACAAATCTCTTTCCTCCGCGACAATGACAAACGACAATAATAAGAAATGATAAATGATCCGATTAATAATAATAATTATTATTATTATTATTATTATTTATTTTTGGTATTCTCCGACTCTGAATTTTGTGGAGAGGAGTGTAGTTATTGGTTAGTTATTACTGATTCAGTTGTCTAATAAGTGAGCAATATGGTTAGCAGTTAAACTGAATGAAGTAAAAAAAATAAAATAAAATAATCTCACGTAAAGTTTTTGAGATTTACTCTTAATTTAACTTTAGCCTTTAATTTTAAAACATCACATAATTAATCTCTGAGATATTATTCTATTTCAATTTTAGTCTTTCTGCTAGCTAAGTATTAAACATTTCACGGAATCTATAGAAATTGAAAATCAAAATTATAAGGCCAAAAAATATAAAAAAATAAATGTTAATTTACATAAATAGTCAATTTTAATCGTTTTTAATTTTAATCTTTAATTTACATAAATTCCGTTTAATATTTAGCAATTCATTAACGGAATGACTAAAATTAAAACAAAATAAAATTTTTAAAATTAATTATTAAACGTTTTAAAAATTAGGAACCAAAATACAAACTTGAAAGACCATTTATAAAATTAACCTAAAAAAGTAAACCCGGATTAAATTTTAAAAAAAAATGTTTTTTTCTCTCTTTTATCATTATTATATTATTCTAGAGAGAGGGAGAGAGCTTATGGGCATGTTTGGTTCTACGCCGACACACCCAGCTGGTCCACTAGCTTGCATTGGATTTTTCTGAACTTTCCTTTTTTATTTTCCCTACTTCTTATTTAGTCGAAATAAGTTAAGTCGAGTTTCCACAATCACAATTATAATTTGGCCTCTTCTTTTGCTAATCAAATAATTATAATTTGACCTTTAATATATATTTTTTTTAAAAAAAAACATAATCAAAAGTAATACAACGAGTTGATCAACAGGTGAGATCTTTTTGCTTTTTTACAATGATAAAATAAAGAAGTGTTGACATAGTAAGAGAGTGATTTTTGTTTAAAAAAATAAAAAATAGTTAAAAGTTATTTTCACGAATCCGTTTTTATTGTTTAAGGCTATGACTCAATACATGTTTCCTTAATCAATATCTTAGAAAAATAACTAAACTACAATTTTAGAAACAGTCCTAATACTATCCCAAAATTTCCTTAATGTGCTATTTGAGCAGAAACCACGTTGGCAAGTCCTTGAAGGGGGGAGTCACGGTGTCATCTGTTGTAAATATGAATGTGAAGACTTGAAACACGTAGGCCCGTTCGGTTCGCTAATTCGAATTGAGATGTGATGTTGTGTGCAAACTTTTTACTGTAGCAAAAAAGTTAAATGTGACTGTTTCTAAGAGCTTTTTACTGTAGCAAAACTCGAATTCTAAACTCAAATCGGCGAAAAGAACGAGACCGTAATAAATACGCTTTTCATAAAATATTATTTGTCCATTCTCGATTGACATTGCTTATAGGTTTCAACAACAAATCGCTTGCAAAATATTACAAGCCTTTAGAATGCTCCAGCACCAAGCAAAAGTGAAGAAACAACAAATAGTAGAGAACTCTTATTTCTTCTGCGAGCAGAAAGATAAAACAAATTTCTCAGATGAATTTTCTAAAGAACTAATTTATTTTGTATGGACAATATAGTAAGTTTACAAATGAAACAATCTCACACTCTTTTCTTTCTTTTCAATACAAAGAAAGGAGAAGGATTACTAAAAACAAAAGAAAATCACGGAACTTACTTTGATTTTAAAATTTTCTTTTAAATAATATAATTATTTAATTAAAAAAATATCAATTAAAAATAAAAATTTAAACTCATATATTTTAAAACATATTTATCTCTTTTTTCCTTACAACAATCATTCATTCTTATATGAAAAAATTACAATTCATCCGTTCATTCCCACCCCCCCTTTCCTCATATTTATACATCGTTCCTCCGGCTTGAATAGGTAGTTGGATTGTTTTCTGGTGTTGGCTAACATGCGCACATGCATTTACGGTAAAAGACGCAGACATCTGGGGAACGGCCTCCAATGTCGTGGGACCCATTCCAACATGGTCACGTGTTCCAGTAGATAGTCGTCAAACTGCAACGTGGTCTTACTAGTTGGTTTAGGGCTTTTTCATATTGTTTTCCTCATTTTTTTCCTTTCTGTTGATCTTTCTTGACTTCCTTCATACTTTAAGCTTTTTAATTTTCTTTTTTCCTCATTTGTAAGTCGCCTATTGTATTATATTACACTGAATCTTCCGAATTTCTTACTTTAATATTTTCTTTCTTAGCATATCTCTTTTATTTAACATATTTATTTGGAGAAAATATGGCTTTCATGCAAAACATGAAGATTCATACAATTAATTGAAATAAAAGAAAGTGTGTAACTGTGAGATAATCCTTTTTTAGTTGAGAAACACAAAATTAGTAGAAAAACGAAATTAGAAATGGCATGCACATGCACTACATATGTATCATTCAACGTGTTATTTAATTTGGTAAGGAAAAAATGGCTAAATTAAAAGACTCATTTAAATTGATAACTTGAGTTAAAAAAGTGAATTTATGTGAGAAAAAACACTGTAACAGAAAAAGTTAAAACTTGAATTTTTATGAGAGAAAATACTGTAATAAAAACTTGAGTTGTGATTCGAATTAGCAAAATGAACAAATGGCATTCATTTTTGGTAAGGAAATTATTTGATGTCGATATGGATCATTCAACGTGTTATTTAATTTGGTAAAGAAAAAATGGCTAAATTTAAAGACTCATTTGAATTGATAACTTGAGTAAAAAAAGTGAATTTATGTGAGAAAAAATACTGTAGTAGAAAAAGTTAAAACTTGAATTTTTACGAGAGAAAATACTAAAAATAAAAGAGTTGTGATTCGAATTAGCGAAATAAACAAATGACATTCGTTTTTGGACAAAGAATTGACCCTCTGTCATGATATTGTTAAATAATTCTCATGAAACTTGCACTTCGAATCACAATAGAATATATTTGGTAAGGAAAAAATGGCTAAATTTAAAGACTCATTTGAATTGATAACTTGAGTTAAAAAAATGAATTTATGTGAGAAAAAACACTGTAGTAAAAAAAGTTAAAACTTGAATTTTTACGAGAGAAAATATTAAAAATAAAAGAGTTGTGATTCGAATTAGCGAAATAAACAAATGGCATTCGTTTTTGGACAAAGAATTGACCCTCTGTCATGATATTGTTAAATAATTCTCATGAAACTTGCACTTCGAATCACAATAGAATATGCTAAAGTTATCGAATATCATAAAGGTGCATGTGATCGGATATGGTTTTTGAAGTTCTTATAAGAGGCACAAATTTATTGTTTCATGAGTATAGTGACATATCACGTACCCGTCATGCACAATTACTGCCAAACAGACCACTATTACATATTTACTTCAAACTAGAGTGCTACCACCAGTGGTCAATTTCCCTACCTTTTAGGAGTACAACAAAAATAAAAACCAAATATATATATATATATATATACACATATACAATTCAAGTCAATTATCCTTGGGAAAAACATGTAGCACATGCACTCGAATAGCACAAATTTATTGTTTCATGAGTATAGTGACATATCACGTACCCGTCATGCACAATTACTACCAAACAGACCACTATTACATATTTACTTCAAACTAGAGTGCTACCGCCAGTGGTCAATTTCCCTACCTTTTAGGAGTACAACAAAAATAAAAACTAAATATATATATATATATATATACACATATACAATTCAAGTCAATTATCCTTGGGAAAAACATGTAGCACATGCACTCGAATAAAAAAAAAAAGATGGTATTAGTTGATTAATATACGACAGCAGTGGGTCCGCGTGAGCTATGAAGAATGGTCAATGAGAGGGAAATTTATATATATATATATATATATATAGTTGGCAGTAGATAATGACAGCTAATACATGAAAACTACATGCAATACTTTTTTCCCAATTAAAACTAAAGGAGGACTAAAAGAATTAATTAAGAAGTAAAAAATAATTTAATTAAGATATTGTTATAACCATGACATTGCAGATACAATTGGAAAAAAAAAAAGTGATACAAGTTCACTTTCATTTGCAATACATCATAGGGAGAAAGAAGGAAATATACCAAGACTTGAGATGAATTAAAATTAATAGGCCAATAGTTTACATAAGTTAATAAATAGGCTAAATTACTGTTTTCGTCCATAACTTGTCTGGTTATTAACCATAACTTGACAAGTTATTGTCCATAAATCACGGTTTTTATCCATAACTTGTCTGGCTATGAACCATAACTTGACAAGTTTATCCATAACTTATCTGGTTATGAACCATAACTTGACAAGTTATGACCTATTAATTTATATAACTAAAAGTTAACCTATATACTTCCTTAAGCTTTTCCTATTGGTCTATTTTCTACTATTTTCGTACATTATATTCGTACCCGTCAATACTAAGAGCCCGTTTGAAAGGTATACTCAAATCATTCTTGATTTTGACGTTTAAAATTCAATTTTGTAACAGAATTAATGATTTGAGTTTGAGTAATATATATAAAAAAATGCCCTAATATATATATTTTTTTAAACATACCCGCCAACTAATATTATGGTTTACATTCATTTATCCATTACATTCACACACATACATATTTTCCTGACAAATCGTCTAATTAAATATTAAATATAAAGTACGTCTAAAATGGCTCTCTTTTTTTTTCTTTTTTGTTTTTAAAATAAGTCTTCATTGTTTAAATAGCTCCCTTACTCTCATATAACCTAGCTGGACATAATACATAGAAATCTTAAAGAAGAAAATAAACAATGGAAACTGCCATATTCATAGAAAAAGAAGAATAATTATAAAACTACACATGGAAAAACT